AGCAGTGCCACATCAGCAGTGCCACGTCAGACACAGTGCCACGTAAGCAGTGCCACATCAGCAGTGCCACGTCAGACACAGTGCCACGTCAGACAAAGTGCCATGTCAGACAAAGTGCCACGTCGGCAGTGCCACGTCAGCAACATGACGGGCCTGCCAGGCCAACTGGCCAATGAGCCCATTGCCGACTACAAAAAGCGCCTCCATGCTCAGCTCGCTGCAATCGAGGCTGAGGAACAACGCCAGCTGGCAGTCAAGGCTGCCCAGCTACAGGCTGATGAAGCGGCAACAGCAGAGAAGCTGCGCCTACAGGCCGAAGCAGACGCAGATGCCCAGGCTCGCCACAAGGAAGCCCAGGCTCTGCTGCAGCGGCATGAAGCCAACAGCATCGAGAAACTCAAGTACTGGCATTTTGAACCAAACGGCGACGAGGCAACACCGGAAGAGCATCATAAGGAGTTCATGGCCAAGCTCGTGAGCAGGTTGGTTTACACATGTAACCACCTACAGTCCGAGCTGGCAAACCTTCAGCGGGCCGTGCGGAATCAGAAGCTTCAGCACGAGGATGCCACACGGGCACTGGACACCCGTGTACTGGACCTGGAACAGGCTGTACCAGGACCAGCTCCTGGGCTTCCAGCAGTGCATCCTCTAGCCGCCAACTGGAGGAACGCGTTGACCACGTAGTGGCAATGCTAGGAGACATAAGTGTCTTCACAGAGCCGGCCACCATCAGCCAGCGGTTCGAGTTGCTGGACACTAAGATCAGTCAGCAACAGCAGACTGACCACAGCCACAACAACAGCTCGGCGAGGCCATACAAGATGCCGACGTTCCGGATCGAGAAATTTGATGACTACACACATCAAGACCCGGTCGTCTGGTGGCAAGGATTTACAACGGAGTTGGGGATTCACGAAGTCCCTGACCATCTGTTCATCAGTGCTCTGTTCATCAACACCAAGGGAGGCTGTCAAATCTGGCTCAGCCACATGGCAACCATCCACGGCGTCCAGGTTTCAGACCTGTACAAGAAGGTCTCCTGGGAAGACATGACAAAGGAATGGAAGAAGCGGTTCATCGTCGACGACGCCCCGGCACTCGCCGTCAACCGCATCTTCACGGTAGCTCAAGGGAGCACACCGACACGTGACTGGCTCACGGATTGGCAGAAAATCGTGGCGACGCCCGATTTGGACTTGTCATTTCCGCATCTGCGACGTGAGTTCTACAACAGGTCATGCGCCGCTCTCAGCCTCGCACTTGGTGATCGCGAGCAGTACAACACTTTCGAGGAAATAATCAACAAGGCGAGAGAGCTCATCAAGACTAACAGGCCGGCTGCACACGAGAAGTCCACGTGGCAGCCAACCTATGTGGAGAAGGTACGAACTGGTCCGCGACAGCAGCAGTTCGCTGCAGTCCAGTTGGACAGTGGAGATAACCCAGCAGCCACTCCAGCATCAAGTGACGGAGATCAGGTGGCTGTTGTCCAGCCGCGAAGCAACAACAAGTCCCGCAACAATGGGAAGGCGAAATCCGCATCGCAGGCAGGAAATGGACAGCCAGGACAATTTCCATGGGTCAAGTTTGGCTTGACCGAGGCGGAGTACAAGGTCCGCGGCCGCTACGGCAGCTGCTACTGGTGCAACAGCACCAAGGACAAGACCTCCCTGTGCCAAGATCAGGGCAAGGAGGACGTGCGACCCAGCCTCAGCTCGGGAAACTGAGCTCCGCGGAAGGTGAGGCGACTCCACCTTCTACTCCGCCAGATTCGGTCGCCTTGCTAGCGGCCTCCTGCACATCTGGGAGGATGCGAATGTCGCAAGTCCTCGGTATACTTACGAGGATTATGCTGTCYACTTGGTTCCACCGCTGGACCAACCGCTCCACGTGCAACAGTCCACCGCATGCACGGTTTCATCACCATCGGCAACCGATTCGACAGCTTCGCCGCAATCTATCGTMGGGGATTCGACGTCATGGTCAAGACTTGAAGAGCTCGACCCATTGACGCTCACGGACTTCCAGTGGATGCCCGTTCCCTCGACCGCACGATTGCCGAAACCGCATTGCAACGTGCTTATGGCACAATTGCGGGACTACTTGCACACTGCAGTACCAGCTCCGTTGATGGACGCCGGAGTAGAGGTTGTCGACCTTCACGTTTACATCGCGAAGATCGACCGCGAGTTCAAGACGCAACGGTACGACGACATCGACGCACCATTGCTATACATACGCATGCAGATCGGAGAGGCGACCTGCAGTGCCTTGATCGATTGCGGAGCATCTCGCAACTACATCAGCCAGGACTTCATGGCACGCGTCGGCCTTGGCCCACATGTCCCGAGGAAGTCCCAGCCTACGCAAGTCACTTTGACAGACGGTCATACTGCATTGACGCCGTCCCAGTGTACTTTTCCCCTCACGTAAGTGAGGCGGTGTCCTTTGACATTCTGGACACCAAATTCGACATGATCTTGGGCATGTCATGGCTGCGAAGCGAGGATCACCCAGTGAACTTCTTCAACCGCACCGTTCACGTTYGTGAYCGGAACGGAGTATTAGTTCCATGCACAGTGCCTCTTCCTCATCCTTCGATCAGCTGCCACGTGGTATCCGGCGCAAGCATGCGAGCTTCCATCATCAGAGACGACATGGAGGAGATGGGGGTGTTTTCTCCACACCCTCCCGCCACATGACGCTTCATCGACGGACTCACCTTCGGATCCACGCATCATCGAACTTCTCGACCCCTACAGCGACGTGTTCGAAGGCCCGCACGGAGTAGTACCGGATCGACCCATCCGCCACGAGATCATCCTCGAGGGCGGGGCCGTACCTCCGCGCGGTTGCATCTACCGAATGAGCGAGGAAGAGTCAAGTGTGCTTCCGACACAACTCGACGACCTTCTTAGCTCATCGCCATACGGTGCTCCTGTTCTCTTCGTCCGGAAGAAGAACAAGGACCTGCGGCAAGTGCGAGTTCGCACAGCAGGAACTGGAGTACTTGGGACACTATGTGACGCCGCAAGGCATCTGTCCGCTTGCGGACAAGATCGAGGCCCTACGAGTATGGCCCGAGCCCACCTACACATCTAGATGTGTATAAGAGACAGCTATGTGACGCCGCAAGGCATCTGTCCGCTTGCGGACAAGATCGAGGCCCTACGAGTATGGCCCGAGCCCACCAACACCACGGACGTTCGTTCATTCATGGGGTTGGCGGGCTACTATCAGCGATTCATCACCGGATACTCCAGGATTGCTGCACCTATGACGAGGTTACAGTCGCCAAAGGTGCCATTCGTATTCGATGACGACGCACGCCGGTCATTCCAAGCACTTAAGACGACTATGCTCATGGCACCCGTCCTTAGCATCTATGACCCCACCCTGCCGAAGCGAGTGACTACGGACGCTTCCGGCTATGGTATTGGGGCAGTCTTGGAACAGCACGACGGCGACGACTGGCACCCTGTGGAGTATTTCAGCCACAAACTGCCTCCCATCAACTCGCTTGATCATGCAAGGAAGAAGGAGTTGCTCACATTCGTGATGGCTCTCAAGCGTTGGCGGCACTTCCTCCTTGGGCGTCGTAGGTTCACATGGGTCACAAACAACAATCCATTGACCTACTACAAGACGCAGGACACGGTGAGCAGCACGATCGGACGATAGATGTACTTCATCGACCAATTTTACTTCACACCGAAACATCTTCCCGGCCTCTCCAATCGCGCAGCAGATGCACTTTCGCGAAGACCTGATCTTTGCGCTATGTCACATCATGCCTTCGCATTCGACGAGGAGCTTCAGCGACACTTCATCCGAGCATATCAGTGCGATCCGGACTTCGACACGCTCTATGCACAGCTATCTTCGGATCACCCGCCGGCCAGCCATTTCCGCATTGCCGACGGGTACTTGCTCCTCCACTCGAGAGGCAAGGACTTACTACGTGTCCCACGCGACCGTGGTCTTCGGACTCGCCTCCTCGGCGAGTATCATGATTCTCGACTCGCCGGCCATTTCGAAGTCAACCGCACTATTGCACGGCTTCGACAACGATTCCGATGGCCTGACCTCATTACCGATGTCACTCGGTATTGCGACTCTTGCGAAGTTTGCCGACGCAGCGGCCCCGCAACCGCAATCCCTACGGCGAGTTACACCCGATGCCTATCCCACGGGAACCCGGTCTCTCCATTGCCATGGACGTCACCGGTCCGTTCCCTCGCGACCGGCTCGGTAACGACGGCATCCTCACGGTGGTGGACCGATGGAGTAAGTACGCGCGTTTTCTCCCTTGCAAGTACTACTCCACGGCTCCCGAGCTGGCACGCCTCCTGCACACTGGTTGGATTTGTGGCCACGGTGTACCAGAAGACATTGTCAGCGACCGCGACACTCGTTTCATGTCGGTGTTTTGGACTGCTCTCATGCAGGAGTCCGACACAACAATGAAACCAAGTTCGGCTCGACATCCTCAGACAGACGGGCAGACGGAGCGGGCACATCAAACTGCTCAAATGATGCTTCGTACGCTCATCCGTCCGAACCAGAAAGATTGGGTTGACTGCCTCCCCGACATCGAGTTCGCCTACAACACTTCGGTGCATCCGGCGATCGGCGTGACTCCATTCGAGTTGCACCACGGTGGACGGAAAGGCCAGACCTTCGCAGACCTTCTCCTCCCTCGACCAGCCGACATTGACGCTGCCTGCTCTCCCGCTTCCGTCCGGAAGTACAGGGAATTGCTGACTCAAGCCCACGCAAATATGCAAAAGGCTCAAGTCCACATGCAGCAGCAAGCCAACAGGCGTCGCGTACCATGTCCCATCCGCGCCGGTGATCTGGTTTGGGTCTCCGCGGAAGAGTTTGCACTGGAACAGGAYGTTTCACGCAAACCGCTTCCCAAGTGGTTTGGACCTTGGTCTGTGACAGCAGCCGCGGGCGATGAGCCCGATGGCCCTTCATTTGTGATCAACATTCTAGAGCGTTTGACGGTCCATCCGGTCTTCAACGCCTCGAAGCTGGCAACATACACGCCAGCCAAGAGCGACGACTTTCCGGACCGACGATCGCAGGACCCTCCTTCTATGGATGGCCATCAGGAAGTTGACCGCGTCATCTCCGATCGCAAGTACGGCAGCAAGCCGCGGCAGTACAAAGTCACATTCAAAGCATGCGATCGCGACGACACTCGATGGATTTCAGGCGCAGATTTGAAAGCATCCGCACCGCTGATCTACGCGCATTATGAAAAGCGCAGGTTAGCTCAGGAAGCTTCACGACCAGCCCCTCCCACCCGGACAGTGATCCCTCCCTCAGACAGACAACTTCGCCCTCGCAGGTAAGCTCGGTTCTTCGAGGGGGGGGGTGTGGCACACGGGCCCTGCAAGGCCCGTCCCGGACATTCAGCCTAAAAGGCTAAAACTTAGGGCTTACAGGCCCCGTTCGTTTCAGCCTCGAAGCTGAAAAAGGAGGGCCTGCAGGCCCTACCCCGTTTCAGCCTATTTCTGGGTCTTTTCAGACCCAGAGTTTTCAGCCTGAAACGGAGGGCCATTTTCAGGCCCTCATTGTTTCAACCTGCCCCTAAGACTCAGGCACGTAAACATGGATGCGGAACAGGCCAGAAATAGCCTGTTCCTCACGAGTTTGAGCAGGAGCTGCAGCTGCAGCCCTTGCCTCCCTTCGGCAGGCTCAGGAGGCACACCCGTAGTACATAGGAAGTTCCCATGCACTTCACAGGCAGGTAGTGTCAGTAGGTAGTGGTCAGTCGGCAAGGGTAGTCTTCAGGATTTCGGCCTCAGCACTCAGGAGGAGCGCTGCAGTAGTCTTCAGCGCTAGTAGTAGTAGCGCTAGTAGTAGCGCTAGCTGTAGTCTTCGGCGCTGGGCGCCATAGCTGTAGCTGTAGTCTTCAGCGCTGGGCGCTGGTAGGTGGTAGATCGTAGAGTGGGAGAGAGACTGGCGGAGGCCAGTGTTACTTACCTGTGGCGCCATCGCTAGAGCTCCATCTTCGTGGTACCTGCATCAAGGCGCCAACTTCACAGGTTAGCACTGGACACAGAGAGAGAGAGAGTTCTTCTTCCTCCTCTTCCAAGTCCACCTTCTCTTCTCACCCTCTCGCCACCTGACTTCTCAGACTACGACAGAGAGAGAGACCGAGTTGTGACTTGAGACTTGATGACATTGGATCCAGACTTGACATTTGGGATTCAGACATTTCGACGAGGGACTATTTGGGCTTGTGCCGAAGACTTGGTGTTGATGACATTCCCATCTTACCCCTCCTCTTCGTCTATCCCCTTCCTCTTCGTCTGTGCATGGTATGGGCTGGCGCAGTCTTCCTGTGTGAAGCGCCAGGCCCATTTCACACCATGATGATGATGTATGTTCAGGGCTGCATTTCAACATTGATTGTTCGGATCACTGGTATCTAAGTCTTCCGCTGTGCTATCTTATACTTTGTATTGAAAGGTCGGTTCTTGTTCTCGTCTGCACGTTACAGTATGCAACATCTGACTCTTGAGGAACTAAAAATCTTTCTTCTTCTGGTGTGCACAGTGAGCTGCAGAATCTGGGGGAGCATCGCTCTGTGAAGGTATCATCATGGCGGGCGGTGAACGTCCTTGTAGGGAGTGGCAGCAGAATATGGGCCGTTTTCAATCCTGAATCTCGGGTGGAGGGTTGGGTTATAGGGTCTGACCCTTCCATATGAGTTGATGCGAGGGTGTCAGCCTCTGAAGGCATCATCATGGCGGGTGGTGAGCATCATTGTAGGGGGTCATTGCGCTGTGGATGTGTGGTCTGCCTTAAATCGCAGGTGGTGGGTTGGGCTACGGGGTCCGTCGTTTCCGTGTGACCCTGTCGGGTGGTAAGGTAATTCCATTGTCGAGATGGTGGATGTCGTGCATGCTACTTCAGTCTTCTGACCTGTCTATTAAGCCAGTTCTACCACAGGTTCTGCAGTGATTTCGGTTAGTTTGCCACAGCATGTTATCAGGGTTTGGAGTGATTACCGATTTGTTTTTGGCAGTGACTAGTGGTCTTGTTTTCGGGCTTGGCTAGTGATGTCTCGCCCATTAATAGGACCACCTACCCTTTTGCTGAGGGACACAAGGTCTGTTTCCTAGCTTTTGTAATATACAAAGCTAAGCCAGGTGATGCTACAAGTCCCTTTTAAAAATATATATATTAAAAAAAAAACTGAGTGAGGACGCCGCCCGACCGGGTCCGTTCTGCGCTCGGCAAGAGGACCT